CCTCTCTCAAAATCAGGCCCTGAAGTTTTACTACATTGCATTAGGCAGTTTCACAAAGTCAGATGTTGAAACAAATTCTTAGGTGAGCCAGTGTAATCTTTGTTATAACATGTTTTTTTGCATTTTGCCTGTCTCTTCTTTGCTCCAAGAATTTTGAGTGGCTTAATGTTGCATCTGTGTCGTTTAGTCTAAAACGTATTAAAACATAGAAGAGGCGTGAACTGTGCAACTTGGCATTCCTGTTTTCAGGAATTAATGTTTAACTTGTTTGCTGAGTTGAGTTTTTTATTTCCTTTGTAGCTGGAATGGCAAGAGTTCAGTATTAAGCTGTAAAGTCATCAGTGCTCTTGGAATTTTGTTCCATTACTAATTGGAGGAGGAGGAGTAGAATCCATTTTCTACTCTAGGAGGAGTAGAATCAATTTTCACTTTGGATGAATTCAAAGAAAATAGTAAATGTGGTTTAAAGTAGGACAAAGAAAACATAATACATAATTTAGAGGACTTCCCCCTTTGGACTTATTTCAGGCCTTCGGGGAATGGATGTCTCCGAAGTAGTTAGTTACATGATGAAAGAAGTAATTGTAAATGCAGCTAGCGTTAACATCAATACATTGATTTAAAATGGAAATATTTGACGTTTATCTTTTTGATGTTAATGTCAAAATAATATCTTTTACACATTTAATTGAAAGTTTTTTAAAAGCATTCAAAACTAAAATATTGGGGTTTTTTAGGGGGTGGGGGGAATCTTTGTTTAGTACTTTTATGCACATTGTCCATCCTGATGCACCATTTTAGTTGATCACAAATCTGATCATATTAATTTTTAATCCTGAAATGGAAGAGGTGAGAGGTACTTGAGAAGAACAAACCTGTTATCCTAGGCTATGTCTATACTTAAAATGATAGAGGCACACCAGCAGCGCTTTAGGGTAGACACTCACCACAGTGACAAGAGGGGTTCTCCTGTCTCTGTAGTTAATCCATATCTCTGAGAGGTGGTAGCTAGGTCAATGGAAGAATTAGCGCAGTCTACACTTGGAGTTAGGTTGACCTTGCTACATCTGTTAAGGGTGTGGATTTTTCATGCTCCTGAGAGACTTAGCTATTCAGATGTAAATTTTCAGTGTAGACCAGCCCTTTGTCAGCTGGTTGCTGGTTTGTTAATGCTTTGAGATTAATTTTTCTGAGTTGCATAGTAAGGGCTTAAAGTGAAATGAGAAGTTGTTCTTAAACAGTTTATATTAACATGTTTAGACTTCAGCATAATTTTGCTTCCTGGTGTACAGTCTAGTTGAAAAATTCACACCCCTGAGAAATGTAGTTAAACTGACCTAAGCCCTGGTATCGACATCTTTGGGTGGATGGAAGAATTCTCACGGGTGTGGATTTACTACAGCGACAGAAAAACTCCTTCTGTCTCTGTGGAAAGTGTCTATGCTACAGCCGGATAGCTGCAGCTGTGCTGCTATAGTGCTTGTAGTGTAGACATAACCTTAGTAATTCAGGAACAGTTTAGATGAATTGTTTTAACTTATAGTGCACCATATTATAAAATAATTAAAAGGTTAAATGGCCCAAAATTTTACCTACTGTATCTTTATTTACTGTATGTGAAGTTCGTATCTCTTTTCCAACAAATGTATTTTTTAATGCCAGCAGCCTAGCAATAACAACTTAGTGTGCAATGAATGGTAGAAAAATGACTCCAATTTCATGCTTTTCAGAAAATATGAATGGAGGGCATTAAAACAATTTTTGAAAATACCTTGACAATGTCCCCTTTGTTTAAAGGAAACATCAGAATAGTTAACAGAAGTTAATTAAGTGAATCAGAAATGGTGTTTAATTTTCATAAGGCCAGCTGTAAGTAGATTATTGGAACCAGAAAATAACATTTTAGTAATATGAAAGGAAACCATGACTTGAAAATGGGGCATTGGGCTAGTATGCTCCATAAATTGTTCATCGGGTGACTTTTTTGGCCATAAGGGTGTTAACGATGAGCAGGGAGGAGAACAGCAGGAGTTCAGGTCTAAAAAGTTTTAAGCAACTTAGGCCATGTCTACACTACAGCTTTAAGTCGACAATCATAAATCACTTTAATAACATCGGTGGAACACATCCACATGGTGTTCTTTGTGTTGGCTTGAGTGCGTCCACAGTTGTTGCTCTTGCATCGACAGAGAGAGCATTGCATCATGGGTAGCTATCCCACTGTACAACTTGTCACCCTTTGCCACTGGGAGTTCTAGGAACCGATCGCGGTGAATCATGGAGACATGCTCGCCATCCTGTGATGCAGTTCTTTCCGTTCCATCATTCCATGGGCTTCCTACTTCGTTTTGTGCCATTTTTCAACAGCCTTTGTAAACTCTGTGCCTGCTGTCTCTGCCTGACAGCATAGATCCTGAGCTGCTGACCATTCTGGTGATGAGCATTATGAACGCAACGTGGCTGGTACTGCAGTATTTCATGGGCTGCGAAACAGAGTGAATCAGTGGTGTCTGTCCTGCTGTCTGCCAGGGAAACAAATAACTCAAGATTGCTGCTGGTATTCACGGAACAGTTTGCCACAGTGGAGTGTTGGTACTGGGCTCAGGAAACAAGCACTGGGTGATGTGATTGCATCATGATGCATGCATGGGATGACGAGAGGTGGCCTCAGAACTTTTGGATGCGCAAAGCCACCTTCCTGGAACTGTGTGTGGAGCTCACCCTAACACTGTGGTTTAAGGACACCAGAATGAGAGCTGCCCTCACTGTGGAAAAGGGAGTGGTGATTGCTGTGTGGAAGCTGGCAACTCTAGACTGCTACCAGTCAGTCACAAATCAGTTTGGAATTGGAAAATCCACCGGGGGGGAGGTTGGTGATGCAAGTGTGCAGGGCCATTCATTGCCTCCTGCTATGAAGGACTGTGACTCTTGGTAATGTGCAGGAAATAATAAATGGCTTTGAGGCAATGGGATTCCTTAGCTGCGGCAGGGCGACAGATGGAAGACATATCCCAAATTTGGCCCGCGACCATTTTGTGATGGAGTACAACAACCGAAAGGGATACTACTCCATGATCCTGCAGGCGCTGGTGGATCACCATGGCTGTTTCACTGTCATAAATGTGGGGTGGTCAGGAAACGTGCATGATGCATGCATCTTTCGGAACACTGGACTGTATAGAAAGCTGCGTGCTGGGACTTCCTTTCCAGATCAGAAGATTCTAATGGGGGATGTGGAAATGCCCATAGTGATCCTTGGGGACCCGCCTGCCTCTTGCTCCCGTGGTTCGTGAAGCCTTACACTGGGAACCTAGACAACAGCAAGGAGCACTTTAACAACAGGCTCAGCAGGTGCTCAATGACCATTGAATAGGCCTTTTGCTGGTTAAAAGGTTTCTGGCACTGTCTTGTTGGTCGATTAGACCTCAATGAGGAAAATATTCTGATGGTCATTGTGGCCTGCTGTACTCTGCATAATACTTGTGAAGTGGGGGCGGGGGGGAATTTCCCCAGAGGTGGACCACTGAGGCCAAGCGCCTGGCTGCTGATTTTGAGCAGCCAGATACAAAGGCAATTAGAGAGGTGCAGCGGGAGGCTATTTGAATCAGGGAGGCTTTGAAGGAGCATTTTGACAGTGATTCCCAGTAATGTATCTTTATGTGATGCATTTGGCCAGGCAATATTTACTTGCTGCCTGTAGTGCTTTCTTCCTGATCATTAATTGCAAGGAGCAAATATTGCTACTTATAGCCACTGTGTTTGAGCGATGTATGTATATCACAAATAAAGACTCAAGACTCAACTTTAATAATGGGATAAAACAAACTTTTGATCAAATAGGGGATATGAAAACGAGGAACAGTCTCACAGTAGAGCTCTCACAGCTGGGTGTAACTCCAGCTTTCGTTGGAAAATCAATCTGTCCCTACGTGTGGAATGCATGGAGTACTGTGAGGGACCGGGAACACGCGAGGAATGTGGTGGGGAAGTTTGGGGAGGGCATGGACTGGAGTTCTGTAGTGGCTGGAGGGAGAGTCGGGCACAAATGTGCTCAGATTGCAGGTTAATAAGGGACTTCAACATCTCTGTCTGGCCCTTCAGGAGCTTTATCATCCGCTCCTGCCCCTGTGTCCTTTCATGGCTATCCAGCCTGAGTCTTTCATTGATTGTCTCCCTCCATGCTCTGGTTTGGCTATGTGCTGCATCTGTTGACTCCAGCACTTTGTGAAACATATCCTCCTTACTCTTCCTGGGTTGCTGCCTTATCTGATGGAGGCGCTCTGCTGGTTTGGAGTAGTGGGTCCTCAAGGGCACATCTGCAGAAGCCAAAGAAACAATGAACAGACACAGTATTATGAATGCGCTCCCAGCCATGAATCACAAAATGTTCACACACCTCTTACTCACTGTCCCTTGGCTAACAGAGGTCAGCATGAGTCCCAATTATGGGGTGGGGTGGGGAAGGGAGAATGGGCAAGAAGGGACAAAGGGTGGTTTGCGAAGTGGATTACTATAAGTGTCCAGGGAGCTTATTCTGAATATTTGTACCCTTTTCCACAGGCTAGCGTAATCGAACCTTATATCTCACTCCTAAGGGTGCATCTTCTGCATGCGTGTGGCTTCAAACCAGCTCTGTTTGCCGCTCGCCTGTGTGCCGCTCTGTTCCCTGCAGAAATAATTGCTGGGTTGCACGGCAAAATTTCGTATAGCAGGGAGAGAAACAAGGCAGGTCTCCCAAGGAACCTTCGGCAGAGGAATGCAGAATACCTACAGGAAAGCTTCCTAGAGATTTCTATGAAGGATTCCCAGGACATCCCTGTGTACATTAACAAACTTTTCTGCTGTGACCCCACTGCGTAGATGGGGCTCTGTTGTTAATTTCTCTCTTATCCGTCCCTGCCATATAAAAAAGTACATGAGAGCTCAATCTCCTCTCACCATGCAGTATCAAAGCAAAATGAGCACTTACTGGAGCTCCCCTCTCCTGGCATGCAGGATGCAGAGCTGGAGTGCTAGGACTGGCTAGACCTCTCTGGAGTGGCGGAGAGGTCCTGACTTGCTGCACCACTGGACGACCCTGCCGTGTGCTCCACATCGTCCTCCACTTCCTCATCGGGGTCGAGTCCGCTGGCTGCTCTCTAAAGTATCCATGGGGCTCTTGGTGATGTAGCTGGGGTCGCCACCAAGGAGGCATGCAGCTCCTTATAGAGCGATGGTTGGCCTCCCTTGCCTTTTGGTACGCCTGCCTCATCTCCTTGATTTTAGTATGACACTGCTGTGTGTCCCTTTCATGCCCCTTCTCCTGCATGCCACTAGCAATCAGCCCATAGGTTTCGAAATTTCTATGACTGGTGCAAAACTGCGACTGCATAGACGCCTCCTCTCCCCATGTACTCAGCAGATCCAACAGCTCTAGTGTGCTCCATGCGGGAGAGCATCTGCTGCATAAAGCCAGCATGGTCAGCTGGGAAGATGCTTTATGAATTGTGCACACTGAGCAAACAGGAAGAGGAATTTCACTAATTCCTGGACCTTTAAATGGGGGAGGGGCACATATCTGTGTACCTTCAGGGCAGCAGAGTTCGAACCGCTGGCCAGAGCGGTCATGATGGACTTTGTGGGACACCTGGAGGCCAATTAAGGTGACATAACCAACTGAGGTGTCTACACTGATGCTGCATCGCTCTAACTGTGTCGCAAAAAGCTCTATGCTACTCATAGAGGTGATTTTATTATGTCGGCATAGCAGAGGAGTTGCATCGGCGGGAGGAGCCTTTCAGTGTGTACACCTCCACTGTTTTGTCGACAAAAGCTGACTTTTGTCAATAAAACTGTGTAGTGTAGACAAGGCATTTACTGTGCCCTTATTTGAAGGGCTTTAGCTTTGACTAAGAAGGTGAGGAATTCAAAAGTACTCTGACTTATTTCACAGATTCCACCGGCACCCCCCAGGCCTGACTTTGATGCTTCAAGGGAAAAACTACAGAAACTTGGAGAAGGAGAAGGATCGATGACTAAGGAAGAGTTCACTAAGATGAAACAAGAACTGGAAGCGTATGTATATTTTATTCAGTGCCATGTGTGTGTGTGTTTCAAATACCCTTTTAGTGCTCTCTGCTATTCCATACTTCTAATCATTTCACAACAGTGATCCCTTCCGGAAGATGCAGGTTTGAGCATCCACAGTTACCACGTAACCAGTGTTATCATAATGATCATGATCAGAGCCATCAGGAAAATTGTAGAAATTATTGCCCAGAATTGTAGGAATTGTATAAAGGGGTAATAAAAATACACACTGAAAATGGAAAACAAAGTTAGCTTTTTTTGTTTTGTTTTTACAAAGAATCCTTCAAGAATAAACTGTAAAGGCGAGGTATTAGATCTTAACTAACCTTTTCCTTTACAGATCACTTATGAAGGCAGCTTCAATCAGACTTTGATAACCTGCTTTTCTGTTTTTACTATGTACTTGTATAAACCTTTTGTTTCACCATGAATATAGACTGAGCTGCTTTCTTTGCATGTGCCCTAGTAATAACTAAAAATGCAAATTTTACTTTCTAGCTTTAGTTACTATTAGTGGCAGACATAAGCGAGGCAGAAGAGCTCTCCCATCTGTGTGAAGTAATAGGAGCTTGTACAACCACAGTAGTTAGTTGTTAATGTGCAATTATCAAACTTCTGTTCTGTAGAACTGGAAATTTGGTAACTGCCTGACATGTTTTTTAATTGGGAATACGTAATTTTACAGTAGGAGAGTTTCTTGGAAATAGTGACTTCCCTGGTTATGCAGTTGATAGCGATTGGAGGATTTGTTGTAAGGTTTAGTACTCTGTGTTGAGTCATATAGGAAAGTCTTTTTCCTTACTCCATCCCCTTTCTTTTATCTCATCCATGGACCTCTTTGCTCTTTCTCCTCCCTCCCTGATTTCAGTTTTCATGTGTATATTTACACTGCTACTAGATTACTTCTCTCCAAAGCACTGAACTGGCAAGAAAATAATTAGCACTTCTCAGCGTCACACTAGCTCACAGCAGCTGATTAAAAGTACTGTATTAGACTGGTGTGCAAGAGATGGTTTGACAGCAGAGGAAATATACACTTGTACTTCATACGCCAGAAAACTGGAAATTAGCAGAGCACAATAAATATTGAAGAATCTGTGATTTTCCAGCGGCCCTGATCATGATTCTTTTGTGGTCTGGTTAGGGGTTGGATAACACAGAAACCTTGGGGTTTCTTCTACTGCCACCTCCATCCTCTGCATCCTTCTTTTTTGTCTTCACTGAATGACTACTGCTCTCACAGAGATCAAACACCTCCCAACACTGATCCTGCTGGTTTGCTGGTATGTAAATCTTATGATCCCTCCTTGCACGTAGTGGAAGCAAGTGTGTCAATTATCTAAGCCATATCATTGTTAACTTGAGGGGGAATAAAAGAAGCCCCTTTCCTCTTATCTCTGTACAATCAATGCAGTTTACTAAACATGTCAGTTAATTGAATTTACAAAATAAAATAAACTGTAGTAAACTAGTACTGATAAGAGTAGATGCTCCTCCTCCTGATTAATCTTTTGTTTGCACCATAAACTAAGCTCCAATTATTGCCTTAAAATCTAGTTTGGTTGAACTGGACAACTGACTTATCATGATACTTGGCTTTTGATATATGGCAAAAGCTTAGAGTTACGAACTGATTGGTCAACCACACACCATTAGAAACCAGAAGTATGCAATCAGGCAGCAGCAGAGACAAAACAAAAAGCAAATACAGTACAGTACTGTGTTAAACATAAATTACTTTAAACAAAAAAAAAAGGGGGGGGGGATAAAAAAAAAAAATTTGACAAGATAAGGAAACCTGTTTCTGTGGTTGTTTTGTTTAAATTAAGATGGTTAAAAGCAGCATTTTTCTTCTGCATAGTCAAATTTCAAAGCTGTATTAAGTCACTCTTCAGTTGTAAACTTTTGAAAGAACAACCATAACGTTTTGTTCAGAATTACAAACATTTCAGAGTTACAGCCTCCATTCCGAGGTGTTCGTAATTCTGAGGTTCTACTGTACTAAATTTTACGACAGTTCTAAAAGTGAAATTAAGCAAAAGATCCGTGTATATAGAACCCAACATGTGTTAGGCACTTTGGATCAGGAATCTTATTCCATGTCTAAAGAGCTTGCAAGCTAAATGGACAAAATACAGACAAATGAGTTGAGGGGAGCAAACAGGCAAGATGGCGATAGAGGAAGGACTATTCAGAATAGGCTACGTGATTGCTTGTGTGGTACAGTTTTGCATCGTGTTAGTTCTTGATAGTTTATGGGAAGGCTAAATGGGGTTATACTTCCAGTGGAACTAACACAGAGATGGAATTTGTATCCTCATTTAAAGGGCCTGTAATATTTGTTGTATTTATCTCTATATGTCTGCTTATGTAATATGATAAAGGATTAAATTTTTCTCCATGTATTAACATTACCTTCTTAGTGCACACATTAAATACCACATAATATACTAACATCAAGTACATCAAAGGTTAGGGTAAAATATTTTAGCACTCCTTAGTTTCGTCTGTGTACGAGGATGTTTCTAATTTCTGCAGTCGGCTTAATCAAAAATTAATTGTTTCAGGTGGAATTTTAATTCTTTATTGTGTAGTCACTGTACTTGTTTTTTGTTTCCAGTGAGTATCTGGCAATATTCAAGAAGACAGTTGCAATGCATGAAGTGTTCTTGTGTCGTGTGGCAGCACATCCTATCTTGAGAAAAGATTTAAATTTCCATGTCTTCTTGGAATACAATCAGGATGTGAGTATTGAAAACTGATTCAGTAGCAAAAGTAATCAAGATGTACTTTCATGATATGATTGAAAATGCGTAGAACACTTGATCTCCCAAAATAATTTACATTGATTCCTTAACCAAACCTGTTTGGATTTAGAAAAATTAGCTGGCCCTGTCAAAGTTCATTTTTCTGCCATCTGGGAAATTGGCATTCAGGACCTAATTTATAGTTTTTGAACTGTAGCCCGGTCATAAAAAATATTTATGGGAGACAAGCAACACTTTTTAATCAGTCACCATTTGCTATGGCTCAAGAAGATATTTTCTCACCCATTCTCTTGATTGATTTCAGGTGTTTTGAAAGAGAGAGCATGATGAAACAAACTGCCATTATCACGGTTTTGTAAAACTTGACTGTGATTAGTTCTCATCAAGACAGGATTCCAACAGTAACTCTTTGATTAAAAATTATGATGGGTAAAAGGTTCTGTTATACTGAGGAATAATCTGTAGCTTAACATGGTTGTTAAATATTATGCCAAGATGACAAAAATCTCTGAGAAGCAGAATAGTTCTGTGATCACTAAACTAGTTAAATATCTGGAGAAGTAACCAATACAAGCTGTCTTCATACTGCGTTGGAGTTGGAATCCTAATATTGGGCTAGTGAAGTGGACGCTGTTATGTATTGTAACTTGCCTAAAAACCTATTTCTAAGATGATGGTGTATATTGTCTAAATAGTGGTGCCTCAATTACTTTTTAAAGTAACTAATTGTAACTACACCTCTACCCTGATATAACGCGACCCGATATAACATGAATTCGGATATAACGCGGTAAAGCAGCGCTCCGGGGGGGGGGCGGGGCTGCACACTCCGGCAGATCAAAGCAAGTTTGATATAACACGGTTTCACCTATAACGCAGTAAGATTTTTTTTTTGGCTCCCAAGACAGTGTTATATAGGGGTAGAGGTGTATATATCTTGTACTACCTTCAATGTTGAAAATTGAAAATAAAACCAAAACCAAACCTCAGGAAATTGATTTTTTTTTGTTAACTTGAAACATGACTTTTGGTTCTTTGATATATAGAAGGTTAACTCAGTACTTGCTGCAGAAGAAGCAAAGCTGGTACAGGAATTCTGGCCACACAGATCTGGAAAGTTAGGTGGACAGAAAGGATGTGGGGAGATGGTGTGGGAGGGATGATTTCAATGGAAGCACGGAGGAATTGGATTAGAAGTTCCTGAAGATGAAGTAATTTGCTATTGTAAGCAGCAAAGGAAGAGCAGAACCTAGTGGCATTAGCTAACTTGTCAGTAGCTTCCTTTTATTGTGTATAAAAAATGAGGACATTTGAGAATGAATGTAGTTGAAATGATACAGATACATTCAGTATTCTTCCCAAATACTATGGAGTTGCATGTTTTCCCAAAACTCACATTAGATATTAAAGGAAGTCTGGTCAATAACTAGTAGAATGCAAAATATCATATTAGTAATACTTGGTGCATCGTCCACATTATTTATACAGTGTACTGCTAGGCAAACAGAAATCAACCTGATACAAGACTTGCAGTTTCTAGTATAATTTCTAGCTCCTCTAAGTGCAAAAATGAATTCACTGCTTTTATTGTCTTCAGAGAACATGCTAACTTGAGATGTGAACTTGTCTTTCAGTTGAGTGTTCGTGGGAAAAACAAGAAAGAGAAACTTGAAGACTTCTTTAAAAACATGGTTAAATCAGCAGATGGTGTCATTGTTTCAGGAGTAAAGGTGATTCATCTCTAGCAGTGTTAATAAAATGTCTAGTAATTTTTCGAAACTGTATCTCTTTGAACTGAAATCAAATATGTTTACAAAAGGAGACAAATACCAAATGCATGCCAAGTACATTTCAGGGCTTCACAAATTTATTATACACTTGCTAGAGGTAGATACAAAAGAGGTGAAGGTGGAGGGGCTTGGGGCCACACCAGCAAAGCCCAGGTGTAGCAACTTGATGAGATGCCTAGCCCCTTGCAACACTAGCTACTGAGAAGGGTGCTGTCCTGGGACCCTTTCTGGAGGTTTCATCATTCATATTATTCTCTTCTGGATAGTAGGAATTGTAATCTTAGGGCTTGTCTTCACTATGGGGAGATTGACGCTGCTGCAATCGATGCAGCAGGTGCCGATTTAGTGGGTCTAGTGAAGACCCACTAAATCGATGGCAGCACGGTCTCCAGTCGACCCCGGTACTCCAGCTCTCAGAGAAAAATAACGTAAGTCAACTGGAGAGCGTCTTCTGTCGACGACGTAGCGCAGTGAAGACCCCGGGGTAAGTTGACCTAAGCTACGTGAATAACGTAGCTGGAGTAGTGTAACTTGGGTCAACTTATCCCGGCATTGAAGACAAGCCCTTAAAGTTGCTTGTCTACTTGCTGGAAAGAGGCTTTGGATCTCCTCCCACCCCTACCCCAATCACCTTCCAGAACTATCTGGCTGCTTCACAGGGAGGGCATTCACTGTTTTATCCCTTCTCCAGCCTTTTTTTTGGCGTGTGTGTGTGTGGGGGGGGGGGCTGGAGTGGGTAGGGGCCATTTCCCTCCCCCAATGAATAACTCTGATACCTGCTTGTGTTAAGAACATAAGAATGACCATATGGGGTCAGACCAGTGGTCCATCTAGGAGTATCAGATGTGAAACAGCAGGAAGGTATTTAAGAAGCCAGCTCAAAGAGTTCCTCCTACACAAACATTCAGGTCTTGAGCAGTCCAGGCAAACAACGCACGTTACAACAAAGCGTAAACTTGTTCTTCATAATAATTTTAAAAACAATACTAGCTGTCTATTTAATTTTAAAAACAGCAAAAAATATCCACCTCCCTTTCCATTTCTTATAAGGAGTCTTGAAATTTAAATCTCCTCAGTGTGATAGATGCTTGCTTTGATCTGCTTAGCTCTTGGAAGTCCAGGAGCTCTGGGCTGGTGACCCGTGCTGCCCAGGGTCCCTAGGGACAGCTCTGTCTGCCATTAGGGAATTTTTTTCCTAAGAACCCCCAGTAACATTTCACGAACCCCCCAGGAGTTCATGAACCCCAGTTTGGGAACCACTGATCTAGACCAGTGGTTCTCAACCTTTCCAGACTACCCTTTCAGGAGTCTGATTTGTCTTGCATACTCCAAATTTCACCTCACTTAAAAACTACTTGCTTACAAAATCAGACATAATACCGAAGTGTCACAGCACACTATTACTGAAAAATTGCTTACTTTCTCATGTTTACCATATAATTATAAAATAAATCAATTAGAATATAAATATTATACTTGCATTTCAGTGTATAAAGTATATAAAACAGTATAAACAAGTTGTATGAAATTTTAGTTTGTACTGACTTTGCTAGTGCTTTTTATGTAGCCTGTTGTAAAACTAGGCAAATATCTAGATCAGTTGATGTATCCCCTGGAACACCTCTGTATACCCCCAAGAATACACGTACCCCTTGTTGAGAACCACTGATCTGGACCATCCTTGATGGGTGTTTTTCTAACCTGTTCTTAAAAACCTCCAATCATGGAGATTCCACAACCTCCCTAGGCAACTTGTTTCAGCGCTTAACTACCCTTACAGTTAGGAAGTTTTTTCTACTGTCTATTCTAAATCTCCCTAGCTGCAATTTAAGCCCATTACTTCTTGTCCTATCTTTAGTGGTTAAGGAGAACAATTTATCACCCTCCTCTTTATAACAATCTTTTCATACTTGAAGACTGTTGTGTCCCCCCTCAGTCTTCTCTTCTCCAGACAAAACAAACTCAGTTTTTTAATCTTTCCTTGTAGGTAATGTTTTCTAGATCTTTAATCATTTTTGTTGCTCTCTCTGGACTTTGTCTGATTTGTCCATGTCTTTCCCAAAGTGTGGTCCCCAGAACTGGATGCAATACTGCAGTTGAGACCAGATATCTAACTATTTCACTAACCAAATGGATGGTAATGAACCTTCTCCTTCACTGCTGGTTTGAGTCATAATAGAACTGGTGACTTAGAGGTGGAAGGTACTTATTACAACCGCCCTAGTAAATTACAAATGCATTATGAAACACCACCTCTAAAAATCAGTTTTTCTTTCACCGATCTGCTAACCATGTGTTCAGGATTCTAGGTAGGTATAATACTTATTATCATAAAGCCAGGATTCTAGGTAGGTGCAACACCTATTATCATAAAGCCTAAAACATTGCAGGCAAACATCAAATCTTGCGGGACTTGGCAGGTAAGTGAAATAGAAACTGACTTTCATATAGGGTGTTTTACAAAATAAGTACAGAGTTCACTTACACGTATTATAAAGTATTTAATTGTACACAGTCATGATTGTATACTAAATTTTGTGTGTCATTATTATAGACAGCTGAATCGGTGTTCTAAATACTGTTTTGTCTTTTAGGATGTAGATGACTTTTTTGAACATGAAAGAACATTCCTTGTAGAATACCATAACCGAGTCAAAGATGCTTCTGGCAAATCTGATAAAATGACAAGATCACACAAAAGTGAGTTTCTGCTCTCTGGGGGGGAGCCCCATTAGTTGTAGCACACACTAGAAAATTTTCTAATTCTTTGTGATTGGCAATGACCTTCCATTGATAACTTGCCTCACATGCAAGGAAGAGTAAAGTTCTCAGGGAGTACAAATGTCTTTATTCAAGCAGAAGTAAACATAAGAGTGGCCTTACTGGGTCAGACCAAAGGTCCATCTAGGGCAGTATCCTCCCAACAGTGGCCAATGCCAGGTGCCCCAGAGGGAATGAACATAACAGGTAATCATTAGGTGATCCATTCCGTCGCCCATTCCCAGCTTCTGGCAAACAGAGGCTAGGGATACCATCCTTGCCCATCCTGGCTAATAGCCATTGGTGGACCAAAGACTAATCAGATCTTGGAATAACATATCTCTGGGTGTAACTAATGCTTGGGTGGGCGCCATGGTCAAGAGGCAAGGAACAGAGCCGGCCTGGAGTGCAAGGTCCTGGAAGGGAACTTGGGGCAATCGTGGGGGGAGGCAGCGGGGTCTGGGGAGGCAGCGGGGGCCAGGGGTGATGGGGAGTAGGGCGGGGGAAGCCATGGGGGTTGGGGCAATGAATGGTGAATCGGGGGTGGCAGCGGAGGCCTGGGGCACCAAAACACAAGTTTGCCGAGAGTGCCATTTTCCCCATGGCTAATGCTGTACTAGACCAGTTGGAATTAGAATAATCTGCTTTTGCACTGGAGACAGTTTGATTCTTCATACCATCTCTTTTGGGGATAACTGAAACGTATTTAACCTTTAGTTAAATTTTATGAATTTTAAAGTGCAGAGGTGGGTGGTACAGCTACATTCATGATTAAATTCTGTCATAAACCTGTGGGGAGAACTTTAGATCTGCCTGCAGTTACCTGGGTTCAATTTGTGCCACACAAGAAATTACATTTCTTTACTCAACCTCAAACTCATCTATGCTTCTTCAACCAAAAGTGGCAGTCATAATATGTCAGGGGAGTGGAGAGGTTTGGGAAATTTTGGCATGCCAAAATTTGGGGACTATTGGCGACCTTAAGTTCAAGAAGGAAATAAATTTCTCCTTCTGCAATTGCCCAGGTTTAGTCTTGGAATGTGCCATTGGTATTAATCAGCTTGGAAACTTCTAGTAAGCAGTGTCTGTTGGGGCCATGTGTGCACCCACCCTCTTCCACTCAGTGAATTCCAAGGGCATAAAAGCAGGCATAGAAGAGCAGTGGGATGGCACAGCTCAGTGTTCTTGATGCATCCCTCATTGGGTTGGTTTGTCCTTATCCTCTCTAGGTATTTTTGTTTGTGAACAATTAAATAGGATTTTTTTAAGAGTAGCTCTTTTCCCCCAGTGTTTGCATTATTTTTTTCAAGAGTCATCGGGGTTCAGCTCTTTTGCACTGCCATACCATCCTTTTTCAGTATGGTTCTGTTTTATCTTTGTTTTTCTTTCCCTTTTGTTAGGGTCTGCTGACACAATGGCACCATGGTGAGGTGACTAGGAAGGCAGGTCTTTCAAGCCTTGCGCTTCATAAAACACTTTGACACTGGTCACTGAGGGTTATGTGCAATGTCTGGTAACTGGGAGACGGTCACAATTTGAATAGATGTTTGATCTATCTTGCTTTCTCCTATGAAACCTGAAAAGATTAGTAGGGTCATCTTTAAACTGCTGTTGGAAGAGACTCTTAAGGAGCAAGCTGTGGGGTCTGGCAGAATCTGCATTAAAAGGGCACTTTAATGTCAAAGACCCTTTGCAAGAAGTGACTGCTTACGGGCCTGGCAAAAGTGGGTGAAGTCCCTGTTTTTGCCCATGTTAAAGATGTAAAGATTGGTGACAGCCGCACCTCTGCAGTAGCTCAAAGTAGCACTTTCTCAGGGAAGAACTGGGGAAAGGACATCTATATTTGCTGTAACTGTGATTGGCTTATAAGAGTCTGGTCTCCATAGGGAGTGTCTTCTGCCTTAGGAAAAGCGCAGTATTCTTGGGGATTCACATAAACAGAGTCCTTTTTAATCCCAGCACAAAGGTGGGGATTGGATTTCCGAGCTTTCACAGCTATGAAAGCTTTCTTGCCAGAGGACAATTCCATATGCCTCCCTTGGTAATAGTAATTGACATCTGTGGAGTGTGTTGAGGTGTTTACCTCAGCACACTGTTCGAGACTTGCAACCCAAGGTGGTGCTGTTAGTTCCAGCCTGAGTTATGCAATTTCAGTTCTCCATTGTCCTAGAACTGAGAACCGAACTGCAAATCTTGCATCCCAGTTTACCAGAACTTTTGTCTCAGAATTAAGGCAAGATTCTTCACCCAGATTCTGATTCTCTTCTTAGGCTGCCAGCTAGACTTCTGGATTTCTGGGAACACTAGATTGAGTATTTTGTCAAAGTCAAGAGGTTATATTGGAAAACAGGAAGCTGTTGACCAGGAAAACCTACTTGATGAAATGGAAGGGATTTTCCTTCTGAACAAGTCAGAAAAGAGTAGATCCAAAATGGCCTTCCATTACTTCTGATTTTGGGTCTTCTGCTACATATATGTCAAAAATATGAGCTACCACCCTTCATCTGTCTGCCATTTCAACTTTCCACTCTCTAGTGCATGGACTGTTGACCTTCGCTGACCCTGCAGTAATGCAGTTTGCCAAAGACTTGCTCCATGTATTCCTTCTTCTGTGTGAACCACCTTTGTTAATGGGATCTGAAACCGGTACTTATGAAGCTAATGGAGGCCCTGGTTCAAACTCCTGTCAGACAGTCTTCGTACAATTTCTCTGAAGATTGCATTCTGCATAGCTGCATTATGAGCCCAGATTGCTAGTGAGATCCAGGCCCTTATGACTTATGTACCGTAAGAATGGCCCTGTGTCCTGACTACAAATTCCTGTCTAAAGTGGTTTCAGGTTTCCATTTTAACCAGACCCTTAACTTTCTTGTATTTTTCACTAAACTTTACTCACATCTAGCAGAGGTTAGATGCCATACTAGATGACATCAAGAAGGCCCATGGTTATTACCTGTCTAGGACCAGGACAGGATCTGTAATTCTCCTGGCTTTATTTCCAATGGACCACAAAAATATGAGGGTCTGGTAGCAAGAGACTGACCAAACTCAAGAGATCAAAGGTTCATAGATCCTAATGGTTGAGAAACACATGGCTCTCAAGACTCTGAAGTACCGTAGTGGCCAGTCCAATCAAATGGAACCTGGGGACTGATGGTTCCTTCAAAGTTCTTTCTAGGGGAGTAGAGTATGGACCTCAGGAATCTTGCAGAGATTCTCAAGCGTGGTCCGTGAAGCGCTTACTAGTGATCTCCAGAGAGCTGGAGTGTCGCAAGGAGTTGTCGTGTCTCACTTCCAGCTGTTAAGCTACACTAAAATATCATTTAGACCAGAGGTTCTCAAACTGTGGTCCACCGACCACCAGTGGTCTGCAAGCTCCATTCAGGTGGTCCGCAGATAGTTCCCTCTAAGGTGCACACCGGGGCAGCTGCATATGAGAGAATGAAGGGCCACCCCCCTAATTCATGGACCAAGCGCAGGCGTGGCTCCACGAATTAGGTACCTGGACCCTGGAGAAGATGCACATGTAAGGGGAGGTGGTGGCCTTGGGGGGAATAGGGGGCAGGTGGGAGGGGGCAGTGAGGTGAGAAGAGGGGGTGGGGAGAATTTGGGACATGCAGGGCTGCGGCGGTCAGAAAAAGAGGCGACTTTCCCCAGCTCCAGGGCTGCAGCTGCTGGGTAGAGATGGCCCTCCTTCCCAGCCCCAGCTCATGGGCTGCTGTGGCAGGAGAGAGGGCACATCCATCACATTAGAAAGGTAAGACAACTTATATTAAAATATGAGTTGTGTGCTTTTATTTGTAGAACAAAAAAACCTTTTATTATTATTATTATTCTTTATTATATAGTGCTTTTATCCAAAGCGCTTTGCAATAGTTAGCTAATGGTACAAACAACATTTGGAAAGATCATTAAGTGGTCCGCCGAGACCCTCAGCAATTTTCAAGTGGTCCGTGAAAAAAAAAAGTTTGAGAACCACTGATTTAGATTGATTAAAATACATAATTTCCGAATATTACTCTGCTATATAAGCTATTATAGGCTGATATACAGTAGTGAGTCAGAGGGAAGGTGGTCCAAAAAACAGTCTGTTAAAACAAGGTCTATGCTACAAACTTTTTATATCTTTTTTTGTAATCTATTGTAATGAAGTACCATCAGAACAAGAATAATATTAACTTTCTTATATTCTCAAGGTAAAGTGAGTCAAGAAATTTCCAGTTGTGTCAAATATCTGAAAGCTGAAAGGCACACCACTGGTGGGGGCATGTAGGGTAGGTGTAGCTACATGCTGCAGTGAAAAGCAGGCTGTGTCCACACCGTGGTGTATATAGTGTTTGTCACGGAAGTCACGGATTCCGTGACTTCTGCAGCAGCCCCGTGTGGCTGGCCCAGGAGCCGCTTGGGCAGCCCCTGGGTCAGTCGCATTGGCTGCTGCTGGGGCAGTCTTGGGGCCCCCTGCTGCCCAGCAGCAGGAGTTTGGGTGTGGGTGGGCTTGGGGTTGGGGCTGCTGCTTACCTGGAGGGGGCTTCCCTCCCTCAGCTTCCCTAGCTCCACATGCTGCCTCTGCTGGCAGCCAGGCACCACCCCTGCAGCTCCCATTGGCTGCAGTTCCCAGCCAATGGAGCTGCAGAACTGGGGCTTGGAGCAGAGTGGAGGTAATGCATGGAGCTAGGGAGCTGGGGCTGCTGCTTCCCAGAATTTCAACTTGTAATTCCTGCATCAAGCCCATAACTCCTGATTGAACTAGAGCATACCTTTTAGAAAAGCATCCAGTTTTGAAGAAATAACTTGTGCTTCTTGAAATAATATTCATACAAGAGTAGAGTGAAATATTCAATCTTAAGTCCTTTTTTCTTTCTAGGTGTTGCAGATGACTGTAATAGAATTGGTTCTTCATTATATACATTAGGAACGCAGGACTCCACAGATATGTGCAAGTAAGATTTTTATTGTTAAAAGTGATTAAATTATGGGACAGATTGCTACCCAGGGTTGATGTCTATTCATTTATCAAAATGGAATGAGTCCATAAGAAAGAATAACATCCAAAAGAATGGTTTCTTTCTCTTCCCTGACCATTTCCATATGCATAGTAAGCAGATTGTAAGGCGTGACAAGAGCATGTCTAAGATCTGGGTATATGCACGCTTTGTCATAGTCACAGCAGAACGATCATGAAAAGTGGCATCATTGTGGATCCCCATTCTTTCCCTAGAGTTGAAAACAAGAGGTATGCATCCATATGGAGACTTGTGCTCACTCAAGCTTTTGGTAATTGTGTCCAATATGTTGAATGGTCTTTTGATATTCTGAACTAAATTGTACTCTTGGATTCTGCACACTTAAACATAGACAATTTAAAAAATGTTCTATGAAACTTGCTTGTGAAAATGAAGGCTTAAGCATATCAGTTGTACTTGGCATTATTGCAGGAAGGAGCTATATATGAAGGTAACGTACAGAGATTTGTCAATTCACCTCAGTTCTGGTAATACTATACACCAGTTGCAGTACCAAATCTTGGTTTTGTGATCAGGTTATTTAGATCATTGTTTGGCAATTGAACTGAAAACCATTAAAGTCATAATACGTATCTGTTTCCTTCCCAGGTTTTTTCTGAAGGTATCAGAGTTATTTGACAAAACAAGGGTATGTATCATTAAATCAATTTTTAGATGTAAACTTCTGTTTGTAATAATATATCCCAGTTTGTGCCATGATATTGACAATTAGTTTCTTGGAGTCAGTGGTCTTTTGATCAGCTTATGAGTTTTTTATGATAAGTATTTGAGCATTGGGCAGTGGTGAGGAGGAAGATAGTGTGTTAGGATTTTCAAACTGCTTTTTAAAGTAAATGTTTAGTCTTTAAATAAAACTACATTCAAAATGACTTTGTAGACTGTGTGAAAGGGTAAAAGGGAGTCAAGGTGGGCGAGGTAATATTTATTGGACCACTTATTGGTGAAAGGGACAAGCTTACACAGAGCTCTTCAAAGAATATAGTTTATCTACCTTGTGGCCTGACATTAGTTTTGCCAGGTAAGGGGAGCTAGTCCTCCAAAATGTTAAGAAGTGCTCAAAGTTTTTGTCTTACTGCAACACAAGTGATTTTAAAAGACTTGCACTTGAAAGAGCATACAGGAAGATTACCTCCAAGTTATACTATCCCATGAGAAAGCTATCAGGAATAAGAGTATAGTGCAGTAGATTGAGTGGAAAGGACACTAATGGAAAAGGAAATTTAAAAAATATTGAGTTGGGACCTTGAGCAACAATCATTTGAGAGGTCAGCAAATTAGTTATGTAAATAGCTAGTAAACATGAATATTTTAAAACCTATTGGTTTATGCAGACATGGAATAATGAAGACTTTCCGAATCAGGAATGCTTCTTCAGATAAATGATTTACCCTGTTCTGTTAACTACATACGGGTACAGCAATACTGTATTAGGTACATATTTTATTCGAAGACTGTTGAATCAGTTTATTGCCTTCTCATCACTGAGATTCAACTTAATGAGTGCACCTTTTGAACACAGTTACTGATTTGGTCAAAGCTGGATGTGTTACGGGAATAACATTTTAACACTATAGATGTCGGAGATGAAGGTAGGTGCCAGCAACTGTACAGAACTGGTTGACCTTTCCAGACAGTTCATACAGTGGAATTGGTCTCTTTGAAGAGTATCTGCACTTGAATAGCTGATATGGAGTTAAGACAGAATTTTTATGTTCTGTTGAGATCATATGATGAGAATGTGTATTTTCCTCTAAGGCTGTTTGAACTTCTCTACCTTTTTCAGTATACAATAAATGCCATTGAAAGTGGGAACAACGTCCCTGTTAAAAACTGGCTTCCTATAAGACAAACAGGCATACCTAGCACATTCCTATAAACAGGCATAACTAGCACATTATGCTAAAAACCTTGATTTTTTTTGAAAGTGGTAATATCTGTGTGCGTCATGCGCTATTGCTTTGCGAGTATTTGCACCTGTACTTGCATCAAACAAATGAAAAATTGGAGTCCAGATGTTTTGAGAAGGGCATATCACTTTTTTTTTTCCTTCCAGAAAATAGAGGCACGGGTATCTGCTGATGAAGACCTTAAGCTTTCTGACCTTCTGAAATATTATTTAAGGGAATCGCAAGCTGCTAAGGTGAATTTGTGCTTTATGTTCAATGAGATACTCTTTCAAGTAGTGCACTATTTCGGGATCACCTAAGTGAATGTAAATTACACTAATTCCGTGGATTAGGAAAAATATTAAAATCTCCAGCCTGGTAATTTTTGCCCTCCTCCCCCAGTATGACATTGGATCTTCATTCTTAAGAAAATGGTGGTTAAAATTTTGTTTGCTCCCATCTGCAAGGCTAAATATCATTTGTGGATTTAGAAGCAATGAAGGAGTGACTTTGAAAAATTCTGTAAACTACTTATAATTCACAAACTATTCTAACTGTTGCGCTTAATTGAAAATTAGTCATACAGTTTGACAACTGTTTCATATACTCTAAAATCATTGAAATTAAAACAACAAATTTAAATAAAACTTTATTATAGGCAAAGTTGGTTCCAAAACTGTTTGCTTTGTGTTGGAGGAGACTGTTTTCCTTCTAGCAGTCTGAAGAAGCAGTTTACAAAATTGTCCACATTCAGAAAAAGGTGGTGGTGATGATGGATGCTGCTTACATTCTTTTAATACAGAAGGCTAGTACTATTTCTAAACAATAGTTTGATTCTAATCTTCTGGGAGGACATGGAATTCCCCATACCTGCCTTCTCCGGAGTTTCTTGCAACATTCTCTGAAGCTTCTAGTGTTTGCCACTGTCAGACAGAATATTGGACTAGATGAGACCACTTGTCTGATCCGATATGGGAATTTCTATGTTCCTTTTTGTTGCTGGGGTGGAAGGATCTGTTTTGCTATATTCACATGACTAAAGTTAGAATAATCTTAACAAGCAGGAATAAAATGAAAATCTTGAGACAAGGTAGTCTACGCTGTGATCGGAGGGCTAAAATTGAAGATATCCAACAGTAGGTAATTGTAGATTTTATACAGTCTTATACTTCGTTTTTGCAGGATCTCCTATATAGAAGATCTAGGTCACTAGTGGATTATGAAAATGCTAATAAGGCATTGGATAAAGCAAGAGCAAAAAATAAAGATGTGCTGCAAGCTGAAACCACTCAGCAAGTATGTTGTCAGAAATTTGAAAAAATATCTGAATCCGCAAAACAAGGTATTTGAGCAATCTTTGATCACATTATATTTGCACTTTTAAAAAATCTGTTTTCTTGAATAGCCTCAATTTTTCAGACATTTAGAATATGTTTACTGCTCTGAATTTTCTCTGCTTTTAATCTGTATTTATTTGTGACTTATCTGAAGACATTTAACAGTATTTTCCTTCAATATTAAAGACTAATGGTCTTTCTGGTACCAATATGATGCTTAAATGGCTGAATTTCCTCAAATCAAGATACAAGTAACTAAGTCGTCATTTGTTTTGACATGCACAAAAGTGTAACTGACTGCAGATAGTGAAGACAAATATAATTTTGTCAAGCTCTGTTGAAATGGCCTTACACAACTCTGCCTAGCCACTTCAGTGCTGATTTTCATTGACTGCCACATCTCATTGCAGGTGGTTATAGGTCAGAAACAGAGGAGCCAGTGAGGGGAGTTTTTTGCTGGGGATGCTAGTACTGGAGCTCTGTCCCAAATGAAGCAGCTTTGGTGGGTGAAAGGTGCTCCTCCTTTGGAGAAGACTGTTCAGTGTGCTGCCTCCTTTGTGCAAGTCTTTTTCCCCCTTTGGGTTAAGGTTGGCCTAGGGAAGTGGTCTTTTGACCCAGTCAGCATCCCCTGTCCTAAATTAGCCCTTGGAGCCCACCTTGCTTCCCCATCTGCATCAGTCACTAAAATTCTTTGGCTTTATAAATCTGCCAAAGTTGGTGGCTCTTTGGAGAAAGATCCTGTTAGCCCCTGAAGTGTTCTGACAAGCACATTGTCTTTAGGCTACCTGTCTCATCTGTTCTTCAAGTTAATTTTGCTCTGGTGTTCTCTGCAGAACCCTTCACATGCCTGCTTTCACTCATGAGTGAAGGCAAGTTTCTGGTGTAAGTGATGAAGGGAAAAGAGAAGAATGAATTTAATCTTTAAATTAGGGCTGTCAAGTGATTAAAAAAATTAATCACGATTAATTGCACTGTTAAACAAAAATAGAATACTACTTATATATTTTTGGATGTTTTCCAATTTTTCAAATATATCCATTTCAATTACAATACAGAATACAAAGTGTACAGTGCTCACTTCATATTTATTTTATATTATAAATATTTGTACTGTAAAAATAAAATATAGTATTTTTCAATTAATACAAGTACTGTAGTGCAATCTCTTTATCATGAAAGTTGAACTTACAAATGTAGAATTATGTACAAAAAATAACTGCACTCAAAAATAAAACAATGTAAAACTTTAGAGCCTACAAGTCCATTCAGTCCTACTTCTTGTTCAGCAGGCACTCAAACAAGTTTGTTTACATTTGCAGGAAATAATGCTGCCCACTTCTAGTTTACAATGTGACCTGAAAGTGAGAACAGCGTTCGCATGGCACTGTTGTAGCCAGCATTGCAAGGTATTTATGTGCCAGATATGCTAAATATTTGTATGCCCCTTCATGCTTCAACCACCATTCCAGAGGACGTGTCCATGCTTATGATGGGTTCTGCTCAATAACGATCCAAAGCAGTGTAGACCAATGCATGTTCATTTTCATCGTCTGAGTCAGATGCCACCAGCAGAAGGTTGATTTTCTTTTTTGATGGTTCGGGTTCGTAGTTTCCGCATCGGAGTGTTGCTCTTTTAAGACTTCTGAAAGCATGCTCCACACCCTGTCCTGATCGGATTTTGGAAGGCACTTCACATTCTTAAATCTTGGGTCGAGGTGCTGTAGCTATCTTCAGAAATCTCATATTGGTACCTTCTTTGCGTTTTGTCAAATCTGCAGTGAAAGCATTCTTAAAACGAACAACATGCTGGGTCATCATCCGAGACTGCTATGACATGAAATATAGGGCAGATGCAGTAAAACAGAGCAGGAGGCATACAGTTCTCCCCCAAGGAGTTCTGTCACAAATTTAATTAACACATTATTTTTTTTTATGCACGTCATCAGCATGGAAGCATGTCCTCTGGAATGGTGGCCAAAGCATGAAGGGTCATACGAATGCTTAGCATATCTGGCACGTAAATACCTTGCAATGCTGGCTACAAAAGTGCCATGCGAATGCCTGTTCTCACTTTCAGGTGACATTGTAAATAAGAAGAGGGCAGCATTATCTCCCGTAAATGTAAACAAACTTGTTTGTCATAGCGATTGGCTGAACAAGAAGTAGGACTGAGTGGACTTACAGACTCTAAAGTTTTACATTGTTTTGTTTTTGAGTGCAGTTATGTAAGAAAAAAATCTGCGCTTTCACGATAGAGATTGCACTATGGTACTTGTATGAGGTGAATTGAAAAATACTATTTCTTTTGTTTATCATTTTTACAGTGTATATAATTTTTATTACAAATATTTAAAGTGAGTACTGTACAATTTGTATTCTGTGTTGTAATAGAAAACAGTATATTTGAAAATGTAGAAAAACATCCAAAATATTTAATAAATTTCTATTGGTATTCTATTGTATAACAGTGCGATTAAAACTGCAATTAATCGCGATTAATTTTTTTGAGTTAATCGCTTGAGTTAACTGCAATTAATCGACAGCCCTACTTTAAATTTAATATTTTAATTTTTTTTAAAAGGGACACACCCTGCTGTCTGACTCCAAAAGAGCTTTATATATATGAAAATTATGGTTAAGAGAAGCCAGCACAATCACACTTTAAATAGCTTCTTCTCTAAGGGTATGTCTACACTGCAGTTAGACACGCACAGCAGGCTCATGACAGATGACGCAGGATCGAGGGGCTTTGGCTAAGGGACTGTTTAATTGCAGAATAGATGTCGGGCTCGGGCTGCAGCCTCCCACTTCATAGGGTTGGAGAGCCCGGGGTCCAGCCTGAGCCTGAACGTCTACACCATAATTAAATAGCCCTTTATTCTGAACACTCTGAGCCTGAGCCAGCTGGCACAGAAGACTGGCGGCAGGTTTTTAATTGCAATATAGACATACCCTAACAGTGCTGCAATAGCTCTGAGCCCAAGTTGTGGTCTTAGTCTTAAACTTGTGATTCCCCGCCCGCCCCGCCCCGCAAGAGGAAAGTGTCGTAATGCTTGAATGCACTGACACTGTTTTTAATGGAATCCCAAATTATACTTTACAGAACTTGTAGACTTTAAAACAAGAAGAGTTGCTGCATTCCGAAAGAATCTAGTGGAACTTGCAGAATTGGAACTGAAGCATGCTAAGGTAATACAAACCAAAATGGGTTTTGATTTAAATCCGTTTTTCCATGTTGTGTATATACTTGGATAAGATCAGTTTGGTCATTTCTGAGTTATGTAATGTACTCTCCACCTCCAAAAAGTTCAGTCGGCGCTGATATGAAGCATGCGCAGCTTCAGCTGAAAGGCTAACTTTTATAAAATTGTAAACTATGGAGAATAGGGGTGCAGGCACAGACTTTCAATGGGACTTGTGCTCCTAAGTGCCTTCGGTGCTTTTTGAACATCTCTATCCCATAGAAAATCTCATGCATTGACTATAGTATCGCTGCCTATAGTATCTGTCTAGGTACCTGTATGACTCTCATTAGCATAGTATCTGAGTTTCCTTCTCCATTATTAGTGGATTTTATCCTTTCAGTCCCCCCAGTGAGGTATGAAAGTATGCCTGAAGCTCATACAGGAAGTTTGTCACTGAGGAAGACATTGAGGCAAGATCTGTGTATAGATTCTTGAATATACCTTTGAGCCTTGGTTTCTTTTAGTTCACTAGCATAGGATGTTGACTAAGAAACTTCAGTTGCAGATAATTTACTGAACATGCTAAATGGTGTTAAGGAGGTGAATTATTTTTCCCAAAAAGAACCTAAGTGCACTGTCCTTAAATGTCATTTAAATGCATTTGAGCAACTATTTTTTGGTCTTTATGGAGATAATAGCTTACTACTTTTGACAAAGCTGCAGACAGTGGCTATAATGTCTTATACCAAGGGATTTTCCAGAAAAGCTATCTTGAACCATCTGTTCCTTCAGAATTCACATTATTCAACTGTTACCGTTGTCTGTACTTGCCACTGATTCCATTAAAACCTTATTTCTGAGGGGATCTATTTTGAATATTTTAGGCTGAAATTAGGCATAGACCCTTGAAATTCAAGAGTGTGTGTAGATCTATAAAAATGTACATCCATGCAACTTTTGTTTAAATTGGTTTGGACATTTCAGTTTGATGTAAAACAGTTTAGTCTGGATGCCCTTTTAATGCTGAGAGAGGAAATGGCTTTTTAAAATGTAATTTTTAAGTAAACTTTGCATTACTTTATCGTTTTGTCATCCATCTTAAACTAAACTCAGAATATGTATTTATGTACTAGAATATGTGGGACCCTTCACTTAATTCTTATGGATCAGATGGCTTTCACATTTAGCCTTTTTAAAAAATTCTTTTTATATTGGTTTGAGTGTGATGCTTCTTGGGGCACCCAGGACTGAGAGTCACCTTGTTACCCTCTGCCTCCAGTGCAAGGGAGTTTTTCTTCTGCCAGCTGGATGTTAGTTCCCTCACACAGCCAGCCTGTCCGCCACTCAAGCACTCTCCTCTGGGCTATACCAGCTCTGCATGTTGACAATAGATGCACCCCAGCTCCCAAGTCCTTTCCAAGTGTCTCCTTGTGGTATCTAGCCTCTGACTACCGAATACCCACAGAAATCCCAGATCCTCTGTTCCCAAAGGAACAGTGTCCCCCAGTTTACTAGTGTCATGTTAGGCCACTGCTCCTGTATCACACAGCACTTGAGTTCAATTATAGTAAAACAAAAGGAAACTTAAGAAAGAATAGCGATTCAAATAGGAACAAGTGTGAGTGATGGAAACAAGTGGATACATACGAAACAAAATCATAAAATGCAAACGAAGGCCTAAACTTATTAATAGTTACCTTTCGTATCTAATAAAGTAGATTTTCAAAGTTCAGTCTTTTACAGTGCTTGCTAGCCCTAAGTAGCTAGGACACAGTCTTTCATGAAGCAACCCTGCTTATCAAGGTACCTCCTCAGTGAATGGGTCTAGAGTGTCCTCCTCTTCCCCCCCGCCCCATACTGAATCAGTCTTTTGTCTTTATTCACAGAGAGGGCAATCCCTTCACTGTCCCGTTGTTCCTTTTCACTTCAAGTGGTTTTCATGATTATAGTTTCTTTGATGGTTTTCCGTTGACTTTTCTGGGTTGGTGCAAAGGTAGACAACTGAGCAATACAGTACGTACTCTGCTAGCCAGGGAGGGAGACAGCTCCTTTCTGCTTTAATGGGCCCTCCGAGAGCATGTTATTCCCTGGGGACTCACTTTTGCTTGAAGACAGTAAGGAATAACTTTCAATGTAGTTACATTATTCCTTTAAATATTACTCATACACACATCTCGCAATGGTTATCGATAGGTTACAAGCTTTCAGTAGAGACTTCACATACTACCTCTGAAAAATGATGTGCTAGTGCAGGAGTAGGCAACCTACGGCACGCGTGCCAAAGGCGGCACACGAGCTGATTTTTCAGTGACACTCACACTGCCCGGGTCCTGGCCACCAGTCCGGGGGGCTCTGCATTTTAATTTAATTTTAAATGAAGCTGTTTAAACATTTTAAAAACCTTATTTACTTTACATACAATAATAGTTTAGTTATATATTACAGACTTATAGAAAGGAGACCTTCTAAAAACGTTAAAATGTATTACTGGCACGCGAAACCTTAAATTAGAGTGAATAAATGAAGACTCGGCACACCACTTCTGAAAGGTTTCAGAGTAGCAGCCGTGTTAGTCTGTATCTGCAAAAAGAACAGGAGTACTTGTGGCATATGCATCCGAAGAAGTGGGTTGTAGCCCACGAAAGCTTATGCTCTAATAAATTTGTTAGTCTCTAAGGTGCCACAAGCACTTCTGAAAGGTTGCCAACCCTTGTGCTAGTGAGTGGTGTGGTAAATTTGTCACGTCTCAGACAGGAGTTGCTTGTATTAAACAGCCATTTGGCAGCAGTGGGCCTCTGTCACACAGAGAAACCCAGGGGGGTGCCCTGAATGTCCTCATTTCACTTTGTCCAAAAGATGCGGTGTATTTTGGGAATGGTGTAAAATTTTAGCTTTTAATTTACCAGATATGGGAATCGGGGATATTGTGCATCCAAATACTGTGTTCAAATACTGAGTTCTTATTTTAGTCTATAAGAACTTAGAATTCTAAGCATAGACCATTTGCTTGGAATCTGTACGTAGTCATGAGTCTATAGTACTTCCTTTTGTACTATTTGCTTTAATGTATGCTGCAAATTCCTTCCCTCTCCAGTGATTTAGTTACCCAGATTTCCTCACTTCCATTCATTCTTTCCAGGGAACAGTAATGCTAATGCTAGCCACAGATTCAGACCTTTGAAAAAACTGAAAAATTCAGACTCCACTTTGTCTCTGACCTAATGCTCTGTTTTCCATTCTCACCTCTGGCACTCTATTTACTCCTCTGGATAGTATCCAAGTCCTGCTTTGTCAAATATTGCAAAGCTCATAATACCTGTATTTTAGAGATGTGATCTGCAGACAGCGTTGCTAATGGCGCAAGGGAATGCATAATAGAAAATTCTGATCAACTTGATCTATGGTTATGAAATAAAACCAATTCTTAGATTAATTAGTTAATTCAATTCTTTTATTCAGCTTGTTAGTGCTTGTTGGTCTGTCTGGTGGCACAAAATGCTAATGCACTTTGCATTCCTTTTAGATCTCAGGAAATTATTATAACTCATGATGCCCTTGCATAATCTAATTTTGTTTTAATAATGTGACAGAATATGAAAGAGAAACTAAAGCTGTAGCAAGATCCTAGGGATGGTCTAGACAGTATTTGGTCCTGCCATGCGGGCAGGGGACTGGTCTCAATGACCTCTCGAGGTCCCTTCCAGTCCTAGAATCTATGAATCTATGAATCCTGTAGTTAGTTATATTATTTACCTTTAAGCTTTTGTTGACCACCTTTAAATTTTTAGATACTCCTCTGATCTGTTAAATCAGATGATTGCAGTTGACTACTTCAGGACAATTCAAAGGAAACTTAAAACTTCAAAATGATCATATGAATAGTTTTGGCTGTGGTCAAGAGATGCTTATTCAAAGTGGAAATGTTCTGACCAAGCTATCTCTGGAATGGTCATAATAGGCATACGTCATACAGTCACTGGCAAAATGGAATGCTGGTAAAAACCTGCTTCAGACCCCCAAATAACACTTTTAATAAGAGATCCTTTTTTTTGGCTCTGGTGAATTTTCATTTTAAGGAACTGTTAAAATGGTGTGGGGGAGAGGGGAGAAAACAAACCCCAGCAATGACGCTTCATGAAGTAGGTAGGAGGCTTTGATATTAAGGCTTATTTTGATAGTCAGTGGTGGGACCAGTAAAACTTTAAGGGTATGTCACTCTATTATGAAAATTATGGGGCAGGCTTTCGATCTCCTTACTATTTGACTGAACACCAGAAGCTGTTTGTTTAAACCTTCCTCCCAAATGCTGGAATTATGAATAAGAACTTATTTTCATGAAAAGTTCTGTAGATTTGTAAATAATGTCCACTGTACCTCAAAGCCTTATCATCTTTCTCAGAATCAGTGAGAAGGGGAGTGACTGAGGCCTCGTGCCCCCTCTCTGGAACTGAATTTTTGGAAGGGGGATTATGTAAATTCCAGATACACATCTAAAGGGAAAACTGAATTTTAAATTATTATTACCTTCTACCGGCAAAGGAGGGTAAAGCTGTTTCTGTGGTACCTTTTTAGACAAGTGAAAACCTCCAGACAGTTCTAAACTATGCAGGTTTGTGTAGCTTGTGACTGCGAGAAAGTAAATTAATAGAATCATAGAAGATTAGGGTTGGAAGAGACCTCAGGAGGTCATCTAGTCCATCCCCCTACTCAAAGCAGGACCAACACCAACTAAATCATCCCAGCCAGGGCTTTGTCAAGCCGGCCTTAAAAACCTCTACGGTTGGCGATTCCACCACCTCCCTAGGTAACCCATTCCAGTGCTTCACCACCCTCCTAGTGAAATAGTTTTTCCTAATATCCAACCTAGACCTCCCCGACTGCAACTTGAGACCATTGGTCCTTGTTCTGTCATCTGCCATCACTGAGAACAGCCTAGCTCCATCCTCTTTGGACCCCCCCCCTTCAGGTAGTTGAAGGCTGCTATCAAATCCCGCCTCACTCTTC